TATATATATATATATATATATATATATATATATATATATATATATATATATATATATATATATATATATATATATATAAAATGCTAATCAGTCAAATTTGTTATAAAAACGCAATAAAACGATCAATGAAAACCATCTTTTTTATTTAATTTTAAATCAAACAACTGATTTTATGTATATTTAAAGTTTGATGGAATTATGTCTCTCTTCTTTAATATACAAATAGTACCTGCCTGTTAAAGTAACTTAATAAAACAGTTCTATGTTCTCTTTTAACAATTTCGAAGCATTTATATGTACATTAAAGCATATATATATACACTAAAGTTAAATACTGAATATATATATATATATATATATATATATATATATATATATATATATATATATATATATATATATATATATATATATATATATATATATATATATATATATATATATATACATTAAAGTTAAATACTGAATATGTATATATATATATTCAATATTTAACTTTAATTTCTATGTACCTTTTGGTTTTTAGAAAAATAGCGTAAACTTGTGAGGTATTTTGCAAAAGTAGCCTCATTTTTTGTAATAAATAAAAATATGAAAACATCATTTTTTGCACGTTTTAAACTTGCCACATTTGTTTGCTAAATTAATATATATAATAAAGAGGTAATCCACTAATATCAGGCCTAAAACAACCGGGGCATTTGCATTCCCATTAATTTTTTCAAATATATAATTTTGATAAAAATTGACTAAAAAAATCGCTAAAAAAGTAATAGCAATAATAAAAGATCCTTAACACTATTTTGGGGCCCTTAATCCATTATTTCCCACTCCCCCACTCCACACCCCCAATATATTTTTTGTTCTTACAGGCCTGAGTATTTAGAGTGGTAGCTCTCTCAAAATAAATGAAATTTGATTATTAATGCTTAAAAGAGCGACAATTCGAAGTACATCTGCTGAGGTTATCGAAAACATGCACAATTAGTGTGGCATAATGTCATTGTCAATTTTTTCAGACCTTTAAAAGCTGAATAAAAATCTTGAAGCTTAAAAAATAAATGCCTCAACAACAGCAACAGCAAATAAACTCACGACTCATACGTATATTCTTAGAAACATATGCAGCATCAATTCATAAACGTAAAACAAAACCAAAAAAATTGAAGTGGTTATGATGCTTGAAGTAAGTTATGAAGTGGTCATGATAGCTGAAGTGGTTATGACGACAAAGAAAGTTAAGAAAGAGTTTATGTAAAGTGAACTCCAATTAAAACTTTGTCGGCGTACTTTAGTTAAGTTAACCTAGCTAATCAATCATTTTGCATTTATGTGCGTTTTCCCTATGCTATCTTTCTAACTCGACTACTTCTACCTTTCACTCTAACATATCTTCGTTCTTCCCAAACTCACCTTACCCTCGGTCCGTAGAGCAGGTTATAACGCTCCTTAGAAAGCCGAACTTGTCTTTGTGGTTATGTGCCTCTAAATGACAATTAGCCGGCGGAGGATAAACCACAACACCGGTTTTGATGGTAAATATAATTAATGAATTTAATAACATAAAAAAAAATTGAAAACAACATTTTTATAAGTGGAGTTGCTTATCGAACCAATATGGACAAACAAAGAAATGAAGCAAATGATAAACAAATCATTTGCTTCATTTCTTCAAAAAAGTTAACAATCATCAAAAAGTTAAAAAAAAATTTTATTTACAAAACTTTTTTTATTAATGTAGACAAAACAGAAAATAAGAGATTGTTTGAACTGTAAAAAAATTCGAAGCACAAGAAACGCACTTATATACGAAAGTTGATACAATGGAAGTGCAGCACTTACTTACAAGAGAACAAATGGAAGGCAACTGTACAATGTGCGCAAATGAAAAAAATACTATTTGGGTATAAGATCATATGAGTTAAAATAAATCGAAATTAAATCTGTTAAATCTGCGTAAATTACATAAAAAAATTAAAATAACCTTGCTTCTGTACGGTGACTTTAATTGCCCAGGTATCAAACCAACAACTATCATTCCATAACTTGCTAATATTCCAGAAACCTACAGCATCATACAACGAGTTTAATCTCCAACTCGCATATCATCAACTTATGGTATTGCCAACCTTCTTGATCTAGTAATAAATGGCTATGATGATATTTTCCTTAACAATATTCAAATCTGTTTCAAATCTCAATGCAACATCTAAAATTCTTCAAAAGCTTGTTTTATCATGGCTTCTTCCACATGTAACTTCAATTGTAAACTTCAATTCTTTTCAAACAATTTTTAGGTTTAACCTGTCAACATACACAGCACTCCTAAAGATATGCAATGGCATCCTGGTAAATATTGATGATTCTTTAACCACCACTCTCTTCTCTCTCGACATATCTGCAGCGTTTCATACAATTAATCACAACCTGCTCATTGCTTGTATAAAAGATAAATTTAGAGTCACAGATATTGCACTAAAACAGCTGACCTTATATTGCACTCTCAAAAACCCTTTTTTTCTATTGGCTTCAAAAGTCTGGCTTTTCTGTAAGTTCATTAGGGGTACCACAAGGTAGTATATTAGCCCCATTTTTATTTTGATTAATTGTTTCAACCGTATATCTTATAAAAGCTAAACATGACACAAATCATCATCAATTACATCTTCATTTTTATTCTTAATTTTTCAATTCTAACTGGTATTTTTACTTGTCAATTAAAAATAGCAAAAGTAGTTCCGGTGATGATTCTATATCAATAAAAAACAAACCTATATCTAAAATTTTTTGTTTTTCAAAGTTCCTTCAGCGTATGTATAACCGACTATATAGTTATCTTGAAAAACATAATGTCTTATTCAGCAAACAGTTTGGTTTCCAAAAAATAATTTTTTAATAACTGATTTTGTCAGTCAAATTATGGACTAGTTTATTAAAAAAACATACTCTTGGCTTGTTCATTGACTTGTCAAAAGCTTTTGACATTCGTAATTATGAAAGTCTCCTGCACAAACTTGAAACATCCAAACAAAGACGCTATAGCGGAATTTCAACAGACCTATATTAGTATTTAGAGTGGACCGCTGTAGTTTTGCTCATCGTTTGTTTAGTGGACCATTAGTGGCAGCCACCAAACATAGCCAGTCAATGACTACCCAATATTAACATATCTAAAAATTATAGGCTTTCCATTTATAGCAGCTACCACAAATGGTGCACTAAGTAACCGATAAGCAAAATTTTAATTGTTTTTAAAAATAGAGTGTAAAAGTATTTACTTGAATTAACAGCCACAAACATACTTTTGTATCCTTAAGAAAGAAAAAAAAAATAAAGAAATTTTGTAATATTTCTTACTTTATCTATATATTTTATAGTTGGAATTTATCATATCTTATAGTAATTATATATTATCTTGTTTTATATAATGAATAATTGTAAATTTGTAGAAACTTGTAAAAATACTATACGCTTACTATAGAAATTTGATAACTTCTGGGAAGCTTCAAGACTTCTGTCTTCTACTTGCTACTGTCTACTAGTTTGCTACTTGTTACTATTCTAGTGTCTTCTACGGTCGTTCTTAGTTTTTATTTAAATTTTATTGATAAAACTTGTAAAACAAGAACATTCTAAAATGTTTATAAATGAAGAAATAAACAATTATTATTATATTATTATTTTTTGTACTTTAATTCTAGGTGTCACCCTAGATGCATTAATTTCTTTAGACCAAAATGTAAACAACACTGTAAAATCCTGCAACTATAGTAGCAGAGTTTAACAGAGTTGTGGGGAAGAGCAAAAATATGGTACAAATGTGATGCAAATGCTGTACGAATATGGTACAAATTCAGTAAAGTGTACAAGTATGGTATATCATATTCGTTCTCTTAGCCACATGTCTCACCAAAGGAGCAGCTAATGCAATTACTGTTGGGATTCTTAATTCTCAACTTTACTATTGTAACAGTCTATTATTAGGTTCTTACAAAATAAATCCTAATAAACTCCAACATACTTAAAATAGATCTAGTATCATTTCTCATTCTCCTTTCTATTTAAAATTAGAAAAGTTGCTAAAAGTTCGTTAATGGTTACCAATCCATCAAAGAATAGTTTATAACATACCAGTTATTACATGTAAAACTTTATCACCTAAATCTCCCCCATATCTATACAAACTTCTAGAAACCAAAACTTTGTAAGATTTTTAGACAGTTGGTAACTTAATTGTTGCGTATCAAAAACTTCCCTAGAATCAAAACATTCTCAATGACTGCACCTTGATATTGGAATGGTTTGTCTATATATATATATATATATATATATATATATATATATATATATATATATATATATATATATATATATATATATATATATATATATATATATATATATATATATATATATATATATATATATATATATATATATATATATATATATATATATATATATATATATATATATATATATATATATATATATATATATATATATATATATTTATATATATATATATATATATATATATATATATATATATATATATATACATATATATATATATATATATATATATATATATATATATATATATAAATACATATATATATATATATATATATATATATATATATATATATATATATATATATATATATATATATATATATATATATATATATTATATATACACATATATATGTATACATATATATATATATATAATATATATATGTATATATATATATATATATATATATATATATATATATATATATATATATATATATATATATATATATATATTATATATATATATATATATATATATGTATACATATATATATATATATAATATATATATATATATATATATATATATATATATATATATATATATATATATATATATATATATATATATATATATATATATATATATATATATATATAAACAAAGATATAATATTAAATAAATTCTAATTTAGTGCTTATAAAAATGGAGCCATTGTGGTATTATAAAAAGCAAAATGGAACATTTTTACAGACAGAAAAATTTCAGTTTATTTGTGGATCTATGCAGAAAAGGTAAAGTTTAATTTCTTTTTCTTTTTAAATCCTGTTTTAAATCCTAAAGCGATAAATAATAGATAGTATATCTTTTTTTAAAGAGTATATTAATGAATTAATTTATAAAAAAAGAACCGTTATAATATAAAGAGAGCAATAAACTATTAGGATTTATTACAATAATCACAATTTATGAAAATTTTTTTAAATACAGTTATAAAGACAAGATAATTGAAATAGTTTTGCTTGAGTGCTTACGATAAAATCTGAATTGATAATGGCTTAACAGGTCATATTTTAATAGAAGAACTTTTGATAATTTATTGAAATGTAATAGCTATGTTAAAAATAATACTTTGCAAAGTTAAAAGTTTTGTTTTTGTGTTATATTTTATGGCTATAGGTAGCTCTAATTTCTTAAACATTTAAACATACAATTAGAATCAGTTTGGAAACCTATTTTCAGACTTATAAATTGAATTTTTACTATTACAAACATTTTCCAGATATAATTTCAACATTATAAAGAATGTCTTGAGATATTTTGCGCTTTAAAGGTTAATATCTTCTTAAACAGGGGTGAATTTAAGGGATGCGTGGGGGTGTGGGACCCGATAATGAAGGCAGTTTTAACTTGTAGAGACATTTTAAATGAATATAGTTGGGTAGTCAACATTTGATACATTTTGGTCAGCATAATTTTGAAGACTTTTTTTTGTTTTGAAAAGCAGTCTGCACTTTTTCAAGATTTACCTTTCTCCCTCCCTCATTTTATTCCTAGAATCACCCATGTGCTTTAAAACAGACTTTCTATAACGTTTTTAGAAATTAATATTATTTGCTGTATTAAAGTATATAAAGATATATAATACACTTTTGTTATTTTTCTTTTTTTTAAGAGACTAATAGAAGCTTAGCTATTTTTACAAATGTATAAAGATTAAAAAAAGAATTTTAAATGAATGAAATGTTCTTTTTAGACAGCCAAGTCTTTGTTTTCAACGTGAAATATCTACTGGAATAGTTACCTGTAAGTTATGTTTTTAATTTTTGAAATACTTTAACAGGCAAAGACTTTATATACTGTTTACTTGTTCCAAACTTTATCTTTCAAGGCTTTTATGGTTTTATGATTTTTCACTTATTATTGCATTATTTTTAATATACAACAAAACATGTAAAAAGATTAGTAAAACGTTGGGAACACATACTTTGCTTATAATATTTTCACAGATATTTTTCTAAAGCACAATATTAATCATTTTCCAATCAAAGAAAATAAAATCAAAGTAAAATATTTGAGCTGTCCATGGATCACTTGCGGAATTAAAAAACAAAATAAAAACTATACGTTAAACATTTGAAACAGAATTGAGAATAACCAATCTATATACAAACAATACAAAAATCATATCGAAAAAGTAAAAAAAAAAAATTCTAAAAAAACTTACTAATCTAAATTACTTCAAAAAACAAATGGAGATATCAAAATAGAACATCATATAAGAAATAATTAGGAAAAAAAAAATAGCTTACCAGATAGAATTATTATGAATGAAACCGAACACGATGATAAGAACTTCTAGCTTCCTCACTGTTTTTAATATACATTAATGATCTTCTGAAAATCCTCAAACAAATTTTGTTTAATATTTTCAGATGATACTAATTTATTTTATTCATCTCCGTCAATTACAGAACTTTTTGAAACGACGAATATTAAACTTGAAAAACTTTATTTGGCTAAAATCTAATAATTATCTTTAAGCACAGAAAAAACTAATTTAATCTTATTCCATCCCAATCAAAAACGAAAAAAAATACAAAATGTATTGCTATTGCTAAAATAGAAAACAAAAATATTGAAAGAACCACAACAACTAAATTTCTAGGTTTACTTATAGATGAAAATATTTCATGGAAAGCCTATATTGACTACTTAAATACTAAAATAACCACAAACATTGGCGTGCTATACAAAGTTAGACCAATGTTATCCGAAGAAAATTTAAAACATCTTTATTTCTCATTTATACATAATTATTATACATACGGTAATATAGCATGGTTAAGTACCCAATAATCCAATTTGAAATTACTTTATTGACATCAAAAACATACCGCAAAAATTGTCAACAAAAAGATAAACTCACTCAGACTGAACCTTTGTTAAAACTGCTTAATGCACTAAACGTGTATAGAATTAACATTTACTAAAACTTACTGTTCATGCTAAAATAAAAACTCGGGCTTGTCCCATCACATTTCTTGAAGGAATTTTTTAAAAACAATAGAAATAAATATGACACTAGAAATGTAGGAAACTTTGATATATCGTTCAGAAAACCAAAACTATCGTGTTTCACAATTGCATATTGTGGTACCTATTTCTATAATAAACTGATATCCAAAAATTCCATAATTACAAAATTAGATAACATAAATTGTTTAAAAATATTACTAAAAAAATTTGTTTTAAATATAAACAGTTATTTGCACTTATACTATATTAAAATTGAAACTAAAACCAAAATTAGCGTTGAAAATAAAATCCCAAAAAACTTCAATAACATATATTGATATAAAAAAATAAAAATAAATCAATAATAATTATACTTATGCCTAATAATAAATTTATGTGTATTATGTGTATTACAAACAGCATTAAATAATTTTTTTTTTTTAAACATTTTATTATATGTAAATCCAACACAAAATGAAGTATTTTGTGAAACTAGATACATTGTAAAACGAAAATACAAAAAATATTACAAGAACAAGCGGTTTCTTGATGATAAGACCATAAGGTCTTCTGCAAGTTTCCATCATTCTTTATAAATGATACGCTGCAATCATATTTTTTGTTTTCTATAAAATTGTGATATATATATATATATATATATTATATATATATATATATATATATATATTATATATATATATATATATATATATATATATATATATATATATATATGTTGCCCCGTTTTCACCTATATATATACATATATATATATATATATATATATATATATATATATATATATATATATATATATATATATATATATATATATATATATATATATATATATATATATATATATATATATATATATATATATATATATATATATACATATATATATATATATATATATATATATACATATATATATATATATATATACATATATATATATATATATATATATATATATATATATATATATATATATATATATATATATATATATATATATATATATATATATATATATATATATATATATATATATATATATATATATGTTTAAATTTCGTTGTTTTAGATTTTGTAAATGACTTTGATAGTCAAAAATTAGGTGTTTTTTGTTGAAATAACTGTTATTATAAAGATATTAACAATATAAAGTGGTTTTATACTTCATATTTATGTTACAATAACGTTGGTACAAAAAAAGGAAATGGGTCTGAAATAAAGTATTATTGAATAATACTTTGTTATAGTTCAATCTTCTTAATTTCCATAAATTGGTCGAACGGATTAAATTTATAAAGATTAGAGTTCAGATATAGGTAAAATCAATTATCTATAATCTATATCACTATTACTATTTTCATAAAATTTAGTGCAAACAATGAAAAATTGAGTTTAAACAGATTAATTTACTCTGTTATTTATTATTATTAGTTAATTTTTTAATCATTCACAAACCAAAACCTTCAAATAGATATAAATAGAATTGATATACAATAAAACTAGATATTGCTAACAACCCAAATCTTTAAGAAACTACCTCTATTTCCTATCACCTCAAAGGTTTCTTAAAGAATAATTTCAGAATATGTTATCCTAATATAATAGACTAAATAATGACAAAATATTTTAGTTTTGTTGTTTTCTTCATAATAAAAAAATAAACCATTAACCTAGTCAAGAAAAAGGTAATCCAGAAAAATACTAGAAAAAAAAAAAAAAGAGTTTGTCTATAAAAGTAAAAGTTCTCCCAAAATTTAATAATCAATTATTATTAAAAGTGAAAAGTAAATCTTTATCAACAATGTTATTAAAACCTAATACTTTAATTAAAAATATTCCTTTATAATGAAAATACCTTTTATCTAACTGCAATATTTTATTTGATTTTAATTCGATAACATTACTTTGTGTATAATCGAATTGGTTACGAAAGCCTTTAAAAAATATATTACAAGTGTTATGCATTCCTCAAAGATAAAAATAAAATGTATAAAAATTGAACTGTTTAAGAGAAATACCTCCCAGCAAATATTTCAACGTTGATTCAACGTTGATAACGCGTTGATTTACAGACGTCGATTTATTCGTCGAATTGGAAACAAAATATCGACGTTGAAATATCAACATTGATTCGACGTCAATAAATCAACGTTGAGCGCACGTTGATTTACAAACGTTGATTTAACCGTTGATTTGGAAACAAGAAATCGACGTTGAAATATCAACATAGATTCAACGTCAATAAATCAACGATGAACTTACGTTGATTTACAAACGTTGATTTAAGCGTTGATTTGGAAACAAGAAATCTACGTTGAAATATCAACATCGATTCAACGTCGAAAAAACAACTTACGTTTTATAAACGTTTTCGAAAGATAACATTTAAAAAATTTACAAAAAAGTATTTGTTACTAAGTTTAATAAGTGGGGGAAAGTAAGATTTATTTTTCGCTACTACTTCCGCTTTTGTTTGATGCAACGTCACATTCTACTTCGCATTCGTCGTCACCTTGATTTATTTTTTCATCGCTTTTGTGAACTTCATCGTTTTCTATTTCGTGGTTGCAAGATTTCCGTTTACCTCCATTCAAACGATAAGGTGCATATTTTAGGTAGGAGGCAATAAACGACCTAGTTTCTTTGTCTGTTGCTTTAGGCTCACAGCGCTTAATCAATTCTAAAAAATAAATGCAAAAATATCAAATTTGGTCAAGTGAATAAAACTGTAGATAAAGGAAGAAAGAATGTCTTCAATTTACACTATTTAATACGAATACATGAAGTTTACAACTTTAATGTAAACTGATTTAATTTTATTTTTCAGTTTGTTCAAGGAAGATTTTTATATCTACTTTTTGTGAATTCAACTAAATTCGTTTATTTTCAACAGGCAGCCTTTAAAAAGAAATATAAATATATAAAAATATAGAGATCAACATTATAGCTACCAATTATTGTTTTGTAAACATTTAACTTTTCCATAGGTAACTTCACAGTAAACTTTCCCTTGGAACCAACCAAATTGAACTTCGATTGAAGTCTGTTTGTCATTAACCTTAAACATGTCAAAAGAGAAACTCAACATTATTTTTCTATATTTAAAAATCGCTTTTAAAAACTAATTTCTTTGCAAAAATAGTAAGTAATATTGATTTAAAAAATGTTTCAACCTGTTTATCATGTTTGCAACACTTTTTTTACCATTGTTACCACCAATGAAAGATAGCTGATTAACCTGATATAAAAATAAAACAATATCTATAGGAGCAATGTGGCAATATTGCATAATAGAGCATCTAAATCTTCAGTGGAATTTTTAGATAACATCCTAGCAGATAACAGGTCAGGTTATCCTGCTACTAGTAAGTGACTGGGGCCATGGCCCAAAACAGAGCTTTTTACAAACCCGGCACCGGCCCCGGGTTACTAGCTGGGGTTAGATTTTTTTTATATTATTGTAATCTTTTTCACTGTTTTTGTTTATTTTGTTTAAGCTAATATCTGTTATGAAAGTTAAAGAAAATATTAAAAAAAAGTCATAAATACATTTAATAAATATTTAGATATTTATTTAATGTATTTATGACTTTTTTTTAATATTTTCTTTAACTTTCATAACAGATAATAACTTGAACAAAATAAAACAAAACAGTGAAAAAGAGTACAATACTATAAAAAAAATCTAACCCGGCTAGTAACCCGGGGCCGGTGCCGGGTTTGTAAAAAGCTCTGTCTTATCATCATCAGCATCATTTATGTGGATC